GCATTTGGTGTTGACAAAAATGTTTGAACAGACTGTGGACTGCCCGAAGAATGAGCCACACATCTGTCTTAAAAGAAGTACAGCTAGAATGCTCGATAGCAGTGAGGTTGGTGAGACTGTGTCTCATGCACTTTGAACTTCTCAGGAGGGACCAGTGCTGGAGGACATCATGCTTGGTACAGGATCAGTGAAGGAGAGACTCCCTTGGAAGCCACTCAATGAAGTGGTTGCAACGATAGGCTCCAACTTATATCGTGATGGCACAGGACCAGGCAGTATTGTGTTCTGTTGTATGTAGGGTCACTATTAGTTAAAAAAGACTTGACACACACACACACAAAAGACTTGATAGCACCGAATAACAATAGCTAGCGATTGTAACGATTTCTTCATGCATTTGTTGGTCACCCAGATGTCATCTCTGATGAAGTGTCTGTTCATGTCCTGTGCCCATTTAAAAATCTAATTGTTGGGTCTTTTGGCTGTTGAGGTATTGACGTTTTTCTATCAGTGTAAGAGATTGTCAGAAATGTCAATGCCAAAGTCCCCTGTCCTCTCCCCCATCTGTAGGTTCTCTTTTCACTCTTCTGGAGAAGTCTACTGATGAGCATAACCATTTAATTTTTAGGAGACCCTGATCATCTAGTTACCTTCTGATGTTTGTACATTTTTGGTTGTTTGATCGTTATCTATGCCTTGAGGGCCCCTTAATTTGCCCCCAATTTTCTTCAATGATCTTAAGTTTTAGGTCTTAGTTACATCTTCAGTTAGTTTTTGTACATGGTGTGAGTTACAGATTTTGTTTCATTTCTCTGCAAGTGGATATAGTTTTGCTGGCACCAGCAAACCACCTCTTCCCCATCTAATGGATTTGGGCCCTAGATCAAAGATCAGCTGTCCACAGGTGACTGTATTTACTTCTGGGTTCTCAATTCTGTTCTGCTGACCCACGTCTGTTGTTCCAGGTTGTTTTTACTACCATGGCTACCACAGTAAGATTTGAGATTAGAAAGTATAGGTCCCCTAGTTTGTTCTTCAGTAGTGCTTTGCTTCTCTAAGGTTATCGTTCCTTTTCATATCAAGTTGGTGAATTGTTTTTCCATCTTTTTGAAGAACATTGATGGAATTTGCATCAGGGTTGTATGATAGCTATGGATTGCTTTGGGTAGTCTTTTATTTTCATAATTTTAAGCCTTCCTACCCATAAGCGTGGTACGGTCTTCCATTTATGTAGGTCTCTTGGTTTTGTCTTTTTAAAAAGAATTATAATACTTTCATTGACGTACCTTACACAATCCAATACATCCTCTCACACAATTCTGTTGCTCAATCCCCTCAAGTAGAGCTATAAAATCATCAATGCTATCAGCTCCCCATTCCCCTCCTCTCTCTTCCTGACGCCTCAGGGAACCACTACTCCTGTTACTGTTTCTGCAGGGTTATCTATCTTGACTTTCATGTACCCAACAACTTTATACAAATGAGTATGTGCAAATCTAACTTGATTAATGAGGTAAAACCAATAACACTTACTAGATAGGTAAAGCCAATAACACTTACTAGATAGGGGAGGAAGTATTAAAGAAGTAGCGGCTAATTATGTGGTTCATTAGTGACATACCACACCCTGGATTTATCTTCCTTTACCTGTGGCTCTTCCGAGAGAGACGGTCCTTGAAGATGAGTTTGGGGCTCTACTGCATCCATGGCCTTCACGTTGAGCTGGCTGCATGTCTTGGTTTCCTCAGTCATGTTTTGTTTTCTTTGTATGAGGGGGGTTAAAAATGTCCATGGAAAAGGGGAATTGAAAGATAATGGAGTGTTTCCATGAACATTTGAAGTCCCCTTGTATATGTTTTTTATGTCTATGGTTAGATTTATTTCTAAGTATTTTATCTCTCTGATAGCTATCTAAGTTGTATTGCTTTCTTTACATCCATATTTCAGAATGCTCGTTGTTGGCATAGAGGTGCCCAATTGATTTTTGTATGTTGATCTTGTACCTGCCACATAACTGATCTTTCATAATTAGTTCTTTCTTTCTGATGAGCTGCTGCTTTTTCTAAAGGACCTACCATATCTGGCCCACAACCAGCACAAGCACCTTCCCAGAGACCCAGAAGGAGCTCATTCCTACCACTCTGCTTTCCCCACAGTCCCAAAGCAGTTGGACTGTATTCATTTGCACCCGAGAGTGAGGACAGGTAGCACAGCGCTCATGTAGCAAGGTGGCTGGATCTGGAGTACAGTTATCACCAAAGGCAGGATAAAAATATTCCTCTCAAGTGCTATGCAGTATTAATACTGAATGAACCAGATTAAACACAGCTTCAAACACTCATATATCGGAACATAAAATCTGAATGGGAAAAAAGACACAATAAGATTTACTCTACTTTAAAGTTCAAAACTAACTGAACTGAAAAAACAAAACAAACTGTCCTAAATTAAAACTATATAGGCTTGGGAACACACATGGATGTAATTAAAGTATAAAGAAAAGTAAGGGAGGGCTTTTACTAAGTCAGGATAGTGGCTGCCTCTTGGAGAGGGGAAGTCAGGGAGTGGCTGCCTTATGGAGAAGATGTGATCAGAGAAGGCTCCGGGCAACCGGGAGTCTGCCGTTTCCTGGTTGAGGTGATGGATGCACGTGTGTTTACTTTGCAGTGATTTCTTAAAAACAGTCCAAACATGTTTGGGCCCCTAATTATGTTATATTTAAAGTACAGTGTTAAGAAGAAAGAAAGGATATACAGTATTTAATGCAAAGCATCACCCAATCTTCAAGTTGCTCACCAATGGTTCAGGGAGGGGATAAAATACGTGCATATGCAAACATGTGACAGATGAACTGTTAAAACATTTAGCATATTTACTTTAGCATTCTCTTTCATACGTGTGTGTATGCAATGCTAAGGCAAAAATGGTCAGTGTTTAACAACCTGGATCATGTGGAGACAGAATATATGGGAATCCTGAGATGGAATCAACCCCATGGCAGTGAGTGGGGTTTTTATTTTGGTCCCTTTCCTACAATGGTTTGTAAGTTTGGAATAACAGCCAAATGAAAAAATCAGAAAAGAAGGCAAGACTCCCAGTAGAATGTTTTCATCTCCTTTTATTGAAGGAAACAGAAACCTGTGCTGCAGAGGCGTGGTGCCTCAGAGCAAGACAAGGTAGCCAATGGGCTGACATGACGAGTCACAATGCTGGCCAGGGGTCCTACCACGGTGGAAGGGCCAAAACCACAAAGACAGCAGGAGGTAGCAAACGTCCCCAACACCCAGTGCAAGCATTTCCATTGGCAGAGAGCTTGGCCATGCACCTTCCAGACAGGGTCCCCTCACAGCTGGCGATTATCATCTCAGGCCTGGGCCAAGACCATCTAAAGGCATACAAAATCCAAATGCTCTCTCAGATCTGGAGAGAGTTCCCTGGGACCTAAAAATGCGGGTCCCAAGATCTGGGCTAATCCTTCAGCTCAGCATCCCAGAAGGAAAGAGGCTGAGTTCTCAAAACATCCCACAGGTATCGCTGGGCAGGGACCAAGGCCCAGCCCAGCCCTGGAAGCAGCTTTGTTATTTTTTACCCCTGACTTCTCACACCGCTCTCACCCAGCATGTGCCCTCGGGAACCTCTCAGTGTTATCAACAAATACAAAGCGGGGGCAGCGGCCTAAGAGATGCAGGGAATTAAAAGCTGCTACACCAGCCAAGACCGTTTCATGAGGAATAGCATGGGAAACACTACTGGGTCAAGGTCCTCCCAAACAGCTGCTAGAAACCCACAGCAAGAAAAACTATGGTCCGTAGCTCGCTATCCCCATGTCAGGATCAGCTGTGCCCAAGTCATGGTCCAGGAAGCTAAGCCACTTCGTGTCCTTGGCAGATGACCAAACCCCAGGGCACTCCTCAAGCGGCTCCAGTTTTCCAGTACAAGGAGGCATTTGGGCAATTCGGTCACGGAAAAGCAAGCACTAAAGACACCTCAGCCCTTACAAATGGATAATGTTATCCAGCCATTCAATTTAAAGACTTAAGAACTGATTGCAGGGGTGTGTGTGTGTGGATTCTGCTATGTAGAAATAAGAGTCCAAGTCTATTCACGGAAACCCTCCATCGTAAGTCACTCCCACCTCCACAGAGTGGCATGACTTTCCTTACTGAGAAACGGTCATCAGCTGCTAAGTCATCCCAGTGATAGTTCCCGTCAATGCTGGGCACGTGGTTTCCAAAGACCAATTCTGGAGATCTCTAGACCAGAAAACGGGAGGGGGAGGTATTGAGTCAAGGCGGCGAGGGCACTGGGGCGGGAATTTCTGAAATGAGCATTGATTTCACAGGAGGCTTGGCACAATGGGGCTGGGGTGAGCATGGCCTTAGTGACTGTTCTTGGTGGCCTCCTTTGCTGCAGCAATCAGTGGGGTCAGGCTGGACAGGGGCTTGGCAATCTTCAGGAACTGATGCTAGGAGGGAGAAAGAGCAAACAATATGTGACCATTCGGCCTTCTGCAACCCTTACAAGACATGAAGACATCCACGTCTGTACGGACGACCCCCGATGGCACAGGCAGTGGGTCACACGTTGTTGTGCTGCCAACCACTAGCTCAGCCGTTTGAACCCACCGGCTGCTCCAGAGGAGCAAGAGGAAGCTTCCTGTTCCCAGAAAAACTGCCTGCCTCAGAAACACGCAGGATCAGTTCTCTTCTGTCCTGTAGGGTCTTGATGTGTCAGAACCAACTCCGTGGCAGTGAGTTTGGTTTTGTGGGTTGGGGTCTGGATGAAGGACGAGCCTTCGATCATCAGCAAATCGAAAGATCCCTTTTAACAGTATCAAACCAACTTAGGCCTTCAAAACCATTGGCCAAGAGCACACCCACGGAGAGCCAGACAGACATGGACTGAAACTCTGGCTCCACAACTTACATCGGCTATGTCATTAAGGATCTTGGTTCTCTCATCTGTAAAAATGGGAATAACCAAACCCATAAATTCACAAGGCACAGTGCTGAATACTTGGAATCTCTAAGAATACAATGTGAGGTATTTATTAGTAAGACATTGTCGTATCAGGAATGAAACCCTAGAGGGCACCGGTTTTCAGCAGTGACACTGGAATTCCATTAGGAATGGTGTCGCCAGACACAGGCTAGGCACAGTATTGGCACATTTCTCAATGCCCAGGGCTTCCAGAAGGGGCCCTGGTGGTGCTGTGGTTAAGTCTTGGGTGGCGATCCGTATGGTTGGCAGTTTGATACCACCCACAGCTCCGTGGGAAGGAGACTGGGCTTTCTACTCCTGTAAGCAGTTGCAGTCTCAGAAATCCATGGGGAAGGGGGGGGGGGGTCGCTAAGAGTCAGCCTTGACTCGATGGCAGTGAGTCTGGGTTTGGTTGAGGGGTTTCTCAAGAGTTACCTGGAGCAGCTCTTTAGCAGAACCCCTCTTCTCCACATCCATCTCGAGACAGCGGTTCAGGAAATCCCGGAAGATAGCAGACAGCTTCTCGGGGTTCTGAAGCTCTGGGGTCCCATTGGTGGCAATGAGGTACAATGCCTGGCAACAAAAATGAAGACTCACTTTTATGGATGAAATTGAGAAGGCACTCCCCCCACCAAAAATTTTTCTGTTATACATCCTCACCCCTCTATCTACCGTCAAAAGCCCACGTGGGCCCAGGTTTTCTTTTTGTAGGTCGATGAGTCAGATTGGTGTAGGATGTGTCTTACATCAGGGAGCCCTGGTGGCCGGGTGACTAAACTGCTTGGTTCCTAATCAAACAGTACGCAGTTGGAGCCAACTAACCAGCCAACCCGTCCTCGGGATGTAGCAGTCTGCCTTGGGAACAGAACCTTCTGGACTGTCTCATTCGGGTTCTAAAGGCTATTCTGAGTTAGAATTGGCTCGATGACAGTGCGGTTTGGGGAGTTTTTAATCAAGCTCTTTTGAAATATAAAAGTGTTTACACAAGCAAGTGCGAGAAGCAAGAGAGATGTCAAAACTACATGACAATAGCCTGGCAGGAGCAGTCCAGAGAGTCCAGGCCCTTCCTCCCAATGGGCAAGGCTGAGAAAGCTTCCCCCCAGAGCCAGCACCCTGAAGTCAGATTTCCAGCCGTCTGAAATCGGAGACAATCAATGTCTGTTTGTTGAAGGCACCTGTGGGTGGTATTTCTGGTCCTGCAGCACTAGCTAACTAAGGCCTATTGGGCTGCATCTGGGGTTCTCAGACATCCCCTCTTACAGACAGCGCCATGCCTCTAGGAGACAACCAGGAAGCTCTGATTCTTTACCGGAAAGAATATGGCCAAGGGATCAGGTTTTATATTACAAAGCATGTGACCATGGAGAGCCATCGAATTTCCAACGTCTTTCTCCATCACTCAAACGGGGGAGACACGTGTGCGAGAGTACATGAGATCAGCGTATTTGGAAAACATGTTGTCAACTCAGGAAGCAGGTGATAGATCTACGGAGTCATTATTATTACTGATCACAGGTATGAGAGTTTATGATGCGCTCTGCCCGAGGGCCATAAAAAAAAGGGAGAGTGTTCACTAAGGCAGCAGTTTATCTCACTGCAGCCTCCCTGGCCCCCTAACATGAAGCTTCCCCTGGAGGTGGGGGGCGGGGAATGAAGAAAAATCCAGGAACACGAACTCTATACAAGCACTCAGCACTGGAATCCACAAAGCACCATCGCACTTGCTGACCATAATAATAGTCATAAATGTTACCATTTCACAGGTAGTCTCAGACACACCTAGACTCACACTGCTCACAGGAGTTCATGGCCTCTACTCAACCCCCAGTCTGCTTTCTGGCTTGCTTCCCCCTCCCCATCTTACCACCTTTAATCCTCGCAGCACATGGTGAGGTGGGGATAGTGGCCCCATCGTACAGAGGAGGTGACTGAGCAGAGGCCACCAGTCTGATTCCTGGCCCTCGGGGTGCCAGGGTCTCATAAAGGCCAGAAGGCAGTTGCTGGGGGCCTCTCACAGCCACAAGAAGCCGACAGGTAAGCGACTGCCCAGCGAGCTCCTCCACGTCTCTGTCCATCTGTACCTGGGGACTCTCCCCGAGTCCGAGTCTGCTTTCATCACACCCCCTGACCACGTTCTTCCCGCCTCTGCACGGCTATCCTACCGCTGGGGCATGTGTGATGGATGCGGCCTCCAGGGACAAAGCTGGGCCCACAGAGCAGACACAACGGAAGGTAGGTTGGGGTTGGGTGCACTGAAGTTCCTGCCGATAATCAGAGCCATTCGAGAGAGACATGCGCTGGAAGTGAAGGCTGGGTGAGCACACGCGCAGGAAGGGAGGAGAGCAGACACAAAAGCCATCTTGCCTCCACTCTTCATGTGAAGGAGTCACTTTCACATCTTCCCAAGACTAAAATGACCACCACGGTTGCATCTGTGTTCACACGCTGTTGTCTCTCCCACTGTCATGGAGACACTCACCGCCCAGGTTCTAACCGAATGCCCTTTACTTCAGACTCGACCCAACTCGTCGGTACTCGGGGACCTCATTCCTACAACTGTCACTTCTGGTCCTGTACGCGATCATTTTCCACGCAGTCACTCATCAGCATATACGTATACTGAGATAGCATCATTAAAAAAAAAAATCGCACTCTCATGAGTTTCCTCTACTTAGGCATTCATCCCCATCAAAGGTCCTGAATAACTGTGAGATGCAGATGGGTTTTTCCCCAGGTTGTCCCCCATATTGAATGCCAGGCCTGTGGTGCTGCTTGGTAGCACATGGTGGGTGACTGTACACTTGGAGGTCAGCTGCTTAGAGGTTATTTCCCCGAGGGCATCAGCCATGTAGGCGCTATAGTCTGTCCTATGCCCTGCTGATACGGATGGAGGATTGTTTCCCTGAAGGAGAGCCCAGAGACAAGGTCAAGCCAACTCAAGGAGAACCAGGGTTAGGCTGCCATCTTGAATCTAGGGTCCGCCCATCTTGTCGCATGTTGAACCTTAGTGCCGCCCCTTCTGATTGCGTGTACACCCCTAGCTTGTCCCCCTCTGATTGATGTATGCCTATTGTACAACTCCTTCCTGTTATGATGTAACCAGGGGGGCCTGCATGTCCCTGGCCGCTGAGATCATGGTTGGCCGGGAGGTGAGCTATTGCATGCCTAAGATTGTCTGATGTCTCTTTAATCTTAACCCTCAATTACACAACCACCCCTTGGACCCATTCGATTATGGAGGCTGATACCCCACAAATAACCTCCACAGAGGTACCCTGACAAATCCAGTGCTGATATCTCAGCCGCATCTTACCTTCACCACAGTGAGCAACTCTCCTTGAAACACCTTGCTGTCTTGGCCTCGGAGCTCAGTTCTCACGCTCCTAGGAAGGCCCTCCTCCTCGGGTCGCACTGCTAGTTCCTCGTCTCTCAACTGGTTAACGCTGGAGGCCGCCTGGAGCTCAGGACTCAGTTCTCTTCTTCCATTGCACTCCCTCCCTACCCGAGGTGAGTGATCGCTCTATGTCTACATTAAGTAACAGCTAAACGCTGTCGAGTAATAAGTTTATATTGATAGTCCTGACCTCTTTCTCTGGGGCTCCAGATACTGTAGCCCACACTCACCATTTCCACTGGGATGTCTAATAAACACTTAAAATGAGCACGTTCAAAACCAACTCTTGATTACAACATCTCAGTAAAGGGCATTTTTAAAAAAATAGCAATTCAGGACCCAATTCATCAGGAGGCCTCTCTTTCTTAGATCCAATTCATTTTGTCAGCTGTACTTTCAAGACAGGCCCAAGCACTTCCAGCGTCCACTCCTGCCAACCTGGTCCAAGTACCACTCAGACCTGAACTCTGAGAACAGTCTCTCCGTAACAACAGCCTAAGTGATGCTGGTGCAACAACGATCAGGTCACATCACTCCTCAGCCCAACCCCCTCCAGGCCTTCTCCCGTCTGACCGAACAGCAACCAAGGCCTCACGAGCCTACTCTTTCTCGTCCCCTACAAGTTCTTCGGCCTCGCCACCACTCGCTGGGCTCCTTCCTCACTCCAGGGCCACAGGTCTCTGGTTTTTCCCCCCAGAAGACAAGAACGTTGCCAAATCAGGGTCTTTGCACCTGGAAAACTCATGTCTCAAGACTAAGTTCATGACTTGCTCCTTCAAGTTTTTGCTCAAATAACATAGAAGAGAGAACTTCCCCTTCGACCCATGTACTCACACTGTCAACCGCCATCCAGTCAATGCTGATGCATATCAACCCCCTGCGGGTTTCCCAGACTGGAACTCTTGACAGGAAGAGAAAGCCCAGCCTTTCTCCAGAGCTGCTGGTGGTTTTGAACTGTCAACCATCAGGATGGCAGGCCCAATGCATAACCAACCACACCACTGGGGCTCCACAATCGCCTATTTCTTCTCCCCTCACCCCCATCTCCCCACCTGTCTCCATTACTTACTTCACCCCTCTGCCTTTTTATGACACAGTACTTGTGCCTGGCCTAGTCTAAGGAGCCCTGGTAGCACCATGGGTTAAGCACTGGGCTGCTAACTGCATGGCCTGCTGTGGTTCAAACCCATCAACCGCTCTATGGGAGAAAGATGAGGCTGTCTGCGCCCATGAAGAAGAACAGACTTGGAAATACTGAGATGCGGGCCTACCCGTTCCCATGGGTTGCTATGAGTCAGAAGTAATTTGATGGCAGTGGAATTCTTTTGTTGGGTGCTTTAATGCCTCGTTTGATCCAGGAAGTCACAATGAACAGCCTGAGGCCTTTTCCTGGACCGGAAGGCAACATCCCAGACATCTTGAAATGAGACCACCAACACTCACTCTCAGAGGGTTTTCATTGAGGTATGGGGGCTCCCCTTCGATCATTTCAATGGCCATGATGCCCAGAGACCAGATGTCCACCTTGGGCCCATAGGCCTTTCTCGTCACCACCTCTGGAGCCATCCAGTATGGGGTTCCCACCATGGTGCTTCGTTTGCTCTGCTCTGGGGTGATCTGGGCACAGAACCCAAAATCAGCTAGAGAAGGAAAAGAAACAAGGCAAGGAGTTACATTTAGGGCATTCCTTGGTGAGCATGGGCAATGCCCTACTCCCAGGTGTCAAGCCCTGCCTGACCCCCAGCCACTGCTATCCCGGCCTCTTCAATGCTGGAGTTATCTAACGCCCAGCTACAGATCCAGTTCCTCTAGGCCAGTGGTTCTCGACCTTCCTCATGCTGCAACCGTTTAACATAGTTCCTCATGTTGTGGCGACTCCCAACCAAAGAAAATTATTTTTTTGTATGTATGTATTTAGTTATTTATAATCATTTTATTGGAGGCTTGTACAGCTCTTACCATAATCCATACATAGATCCATTGTGTCAAGCACATTTGTACATATGTTGCCATCATTTTCTTTTTTCCCATAAAGTTATTTTCGTTGCTACTTCATAACTGTAATTTTGCTAATGTTATGAATCAGGTGACCCCTATGAAAGGGTTGTTTGACTCCCAAAGGGGTCGCAACCCACAGGTTGAGAACCACTGCTCTAGGCTGTCCCTTATCCAACCCTACAGAGAAGGTGGAATATAAAATATATCTTCTCTTTCTTCAAACTACAGGCATCAATGTCCAAGCTGCCCACTGTGACCTTGACCCAGTTCTACTTTGTTGCTGAAAGTTATTCCCATGTCTCACAATCTGGTCCTTGCCTTATTCCCTTAGAATGAACCCTTGGCTTTAGTCACCTATGATAGTTAGAACTCTATTGTATCGGTTCTTCAACCTGTGTCTCATGGCCAGAGACAACGGACAGTCCTTCCATGAGCCTCCCATCCTCCTGTGACACAACCTGTTTGTCTGGATTATGGATCCTTACTTCTCTGAATAAAACAATAATATGCTTATTTAAGTCAAAAGGTATGTTTGATAGTAAGATCTACGTCTCCTTACTCATTGTTGTATTCCCAGGGGACCTGGGATATAATAAGCATTCAATAAATGTTTGCTGAATGATAACTGATGAAATAAATTCCACCGAAGCCTTTATTCTTTTTTATTATTATTTTAAAATCATTTTATTGGGGGGGGGGCTCTTAAAATTTTTCTAACAATCCATCATTCACTGGTATTAAGCACACTGAACCATTTGCTCTAATCAACTATTCCGTGCCTCCTATAGCACAAGAGTGCAATCATTAGGCGTCTAATAACTAGTCTGAGAGCTCCGTGACCACGGGCAACAAGTGCCCTCAGTATCCATCCTCACCGGAGCCAGCCAATAGTAGGCACTCAGCAAATTATTGTTGCCCAAGTAGCGTTCTATGGTAGAAGAATATAAAGAATCTGCGTATCCCAGGAACTAAAGACCCATTGATGAGGCTTGTACCTACTATTATTATTTCTAGCCCACAGAGAAAAGCAGTATGATTCCTGCTAGACGCCTACTCACTTAGCTTGACGGAGCCATCCATTCCCAACAAGATGTTGTCACTCTTGATGTCTCTGTGAATGACCTGGTTTGAATGCAGAAACTCTAGGGCTTGCAGACACTGGTGGAGGGGGGTGGGCGGAGAGAGAAAACAGACACATAAACCAGAAGACTTAGAGAAAAAACAACTCATTTAACCTCGTTTTCAGATTAAAGTGAAATGAGTCCAATAAGTTCACGAACTTGCCCCAAATAAGAGGCAGAATTAAAATCTAGAACCAAGACTCCCTATAATGCTCCATGCTTTCTTCTTAGCATAGCTTTGCTAAAGGGAAGAAATCCCTCCAAGGGATTGATTTTGGTGTTTACCAAACATTAGATCCTTGATTAAAAAAAACGGAGAAAAATTCCAGAAGCAAAATGGAAAGGAGTTTTATAATCAGAGGACTAGAGGAAAGGAACACATACACGTCAGACGGTGCTGCTACGAGGAGAGACGCTTAACTGAGGGGTCACCATTTGGGCTCTTCTGGGGATGAACTCAATGTGCCTGTCGACAGGAGAAGGTCCCGCAGGTAACGGAACATACCTTAAGTTGTATAGTCGTCTACACTTGAAATGAGCATGAGGGTATTTAAAGAGTTCATGGAAATCTTTCATTATCTTTTCATTCCAGTTTCCCCCAAGATGTTCTGAAGCCCCTTCATGTTTAGAAATCACATGGGAGGGAAGGGGTAGTGTCTGTTCTTTTAAGTTATAGGAATGGTTGAAACCAGCAAAAAAAAAAAAAAGGAGACGAGAGGAAAAAAAAGAACCTCCTTGGCAGCACCTCCACTGTCACGAGGGGGCAGACGGGCTGGTAGATGGAAATGCCTGGCTCTCTTACCGCCTGACTAGCCATCTCACGCTGGACACACCCCTTACTCCTCTGGGTCCGTTTCCCATCTGTACCAGGGGGGCACGCCATGAGATATCGGGTTTTCAACTAAATCCAGTGGTTAGAAACATCTGCCAGTTGGAAACACCCAAGATGCTAGCCAACAGGGACAGTCTACGTCAACGGGCATAACTTAATAATTTTCTCAGAACTGACCAGTGGCTAAATTTAGAACGAATTTAGAGTGAGTAGGTAACAAAAGCCTCAGAAGACTTCTTAGAGGCTTTATCATAAAAATAGGCTGGATTCATGGGAGGGCAAAGAAATCAGATCTCCTAAAAACCTCAGCTAATTCCATTAGCCTACTAGCGTGCTCTCTACAATATAGTCCTATATACAAATAGCAAGCCACATAAGAGGCAAAATAGACAGAGCTCTCACAGACATACCCAGTATCTCGTGAGACTGGTTGACTGAACTGAAAGGGGCAGGACCGTAGCCTCATGGGACAACTCAGTTACCTGGCATAACGCACAGTACATAAAACAGTGCACGACAGCCTACAGTGGTAAGCAACATCGTGAACACTGGTAAGTGGCCATCAGTGATCCAACTCTCGGTCTATGTCCATCGGGAGCAAAAAGGAATGAAGAAAACCAAAGACTCCAGGAAGAACTTCACCCACAGGAGCGAGGGCCTCTTCTACCCTGACCACTCTGACAAAGGACACAAGAGACCAGGAGAACATGTGGAACAAAACTCCAATCCCGACCAAAAACTCACGATGGAGATTGGTGGAATCCTCTAGACTATTGCTCTAGGAAGCCAGGCCCAGAGGTCTCCTTTCAGCCAAATGTTAGACTGGTTGATGAAATAAACAGTATCGCTCGAGAAAATGTGCTCTCTTAAACAGCCAACTGTACCATCCCAAATGGTCATCTCACCCAAAAGCACAGGTAAGAAGTCAACAAGGGGCAGGGGCGCTGAATCAGTGGAAGCAGAGTAAAGAGAATGCCGACACACTGTGGAAATTGTCACTAACGGCCCAGAACCATCTATAGAAATATTGTTAAATGGGAGCCCAAGACGCAATAAGACGTCCTCCTCAATCTGAGACCCACGAGAGTCAGTACCAAGTCTTGTGGAAGATCCCATCCCCAATCCAACACCGGGGATGCCAACAAGTTATCATGAAGAGAAAACGATCATGATCGAAATGACAAAACCCGGGTAGAATAAAAGACGCTGAAGGCGTTACTAATTCCTCCCACCTCCACAGTGGCCAGCCTGAGCTCCGGAGACCAGGATGTGGAGGCCACTTCCTGCCTGAGGCTGCCTTCGCCCTTGGCCTTACCTCCCGGCACACAGCTGCAATCTGGCCTTCATCCATGCAGGTCTCTGTCACTACATCTGTCAGAGATCCTCCAGCCAAGTACTCCATGACGACCCACAGTTCATCTCCCACGAGGTAACTGCGAGAGGGCAGACAAAGGAACGATCAGCGCACACAGAGACAGGGCTTGGGGTCTCAAAGGCCAAGCACGTTCACAGAGTGGCCGGCATCTCGGGTCGGCGCTGGAAGGGTCCAGAGTGCTTTAAGCTAGAGAAAAGCATTACCACGAGGGGAAGAACCACTCATTTTAAAACTCGGGCCCATGGGTTTATATAGATGATATCAGGTACAACTCTAACTGTTGTACTTCATTTCCAGTTACAGAATTGTTGTAGGACATATTTATGTTTATTTAATTTAAAATGTGTAATTGTTACGTGAAGCAATATTCTTGACGTTTTCAGACTATTTGGCCCCACTTTTTGAGATTTATGAAATCTATAAAGGAAGGTAAGAGGCATGTCTAATGTTTTTATCTCCCCAGAGCACTGATAATCTTCCTTTGTTCCCTACGATGGACATACGATCTCCTGGAATCTCTAACCAAGACTAAGATTAAAATTTGGGCACTTAAAAAAAAAACACCAAAAGACTTCTGAAGACTTTCTCCCAGAGAAGACCAAGCAGACATGCTCTGTGAAGCCCCAAAGGCAGAGCGCTCAGATCACTAGGCTGGAACACAGAAAACAAACAAAAAAAAAAAACAATGAAGAAGCTAGTTCATCATAACGCAAACTTCCTGAAATCAGAAAGACCAGAAATATTAAAATGGAACGTTTATTAATGAACATTAAAGATGGTAAGACTTTTAAGGTATCAGAATCTTATGGAAACTACTAAATTAGTAGTCAAAATCTAACTCATTAAAATCTTCCTCCTAAAACAGGCTCCTTCAAGGGGAGGCATGGTCCTCACACCTCAAAAGGCATCCAAGTAGAGCACCCAAATATTTGACCAAGACGCTTTGGTGGAAAGAGCTTGGGATTCGGAGCCCCATTAGGGAAAGTTATTAAACTTCCTTGGGAGCTCTACTCCATCTGAGATCTACAAGAACAAGTACTAAGTCTTGTTTAAGAGTCTAGCCCAAATTCCACACCATCAATGCCAACATTTACTGAATCAATGGATAAGGTGAGGTGCTGCAAGACAAACATATTGTGGCACCCCACTGTACCAAGGTCCCTTCCTACAGACATTTCAGAGGCAGCGCCCCAGAACACCATCACGTATTTGGAGAAGAACAGAGATGGATGGAGTCCTCCTCTGGGATGTCAGCCCAAACCACAGGCCCTCATTTGCAAAGCCATCACCGAATGCCCATGTGAAGGGCAACCGCCTTTCTCCAGTCCCACAGAAGTGTACGGTTGTCTCCACCAGACCAGGAGTTATGTGAGGACAAAGGCTGAGCTGATGCCACAGTCTAGGCACCTGGAAAATCAGTAAAGGCATGCTGGGATCTTCTAACCCCACTAACAGCAACCAGAGGCCTTCAACAACGGGGTCCCCTCCTGTCCTGCTCCGACAGCATCAGAGATGGGAGCTCGCTGCCTGATGAGCCAGACCACACTCTTTTTGGAGAACTTGTATTCTTCTTTGCCTCAGGCCCAAATCTGCTACCCCTACAGCCGTCATCAATTTATCCAAGTTAGACATTGTTCATCCAAGCTCTCGCACTACAGTGAAACAGCACAAGTGTTAGCTATAACCACTCTTACCAGGTTGGTGAGCTAGAATGAGAGGCTGAAATCATAGAGATGGAATTTATAGAAGATAGCTAAAAAGTTCCAGCTCTTGCTTAATGCAAGCCCATGTACAAACAACAACAACCAGAGAATTTAGTTGGACACTAGCTTACTGCGAGGCGACCGTGAAACAGTCTTGCTAACAAGAACAAAACAAATACCTTAATGTAATGACTACTTTTCGGGTTAAATTTAAAATCAAGGAGGAGTTCCTGATACTCCTCAGATTTCAAATGAGGAATCTAGTAGGTGTGTGTGCATACTCTGAAGCGGATAAAACAAAACCGAGTAAGGAAAGATTTAGGAAAACAACAACTGAGGGCCTAGATTTAGTCTCAAGAAGAAGGGCGGGAAGGTTCCCCTGAGCCCGAAGAGCATACAACTTGAGGGCCAGCTGTTAGAAGCCACAGGGTGGCAGCCTTCAGTCGAACCCAGGCTGCCCAGCCATCAGATGTGCCCAGCAGTATGCAGGCTCGGAGGCAGAGCGGAGTCACAGAAAACCCTTAAACAGAGGCAAGTGTGAGTGTTGGCATCACCTCTCCCCTTAGAGCCCCACCGCCTACCAGTCCCTAATAGGGTCCTCTCCCTCTGCCAGGACCCACCCTCCATACCTGTCCAGGTAGTTCACGATATTGGGGTTCTTGTTTTCCCTCATGACCAGGATCTCATTAATAATCAGCTCTTTCTTTGGCTGCTGCTGAAGGTTCATCTGCTTGATGGCCACCTGAAATCAGAGAACAGAGGCGGTGCAGCCAGTCGCTCGGTGCTTACCGAGCACAGCTCGTGGCCAGACTTTCCCCACCACGGGGGCCAGAAGAGGACGACAGTCTCAGAGCCTCCTTCAGGAAGTCACCATTCACCAGTAAGACCAGGGCTTCTCAAAACGAGACCAGCAACAGTATTTCGAAGCGTGTTGGAAACGAAACTGCTAGGGTTCCATCCCAGCCTAGTGAATCGGATGCCACGGGCTTGCATCAGCATGCCAGGTGCTCCTGGCATATGCCACCGTGTGACATCAGACCTCGGTGTAGAACAGGTGCTTTCAAAGGCCCTGGCTGTAGTGGGTTATGCACTGGGCTTTTGGACACAGGGTGGTTTTACACCACCAGCAGCCCTGCAGGAGGAAGATGAGGCTTCCTACGCCCATAGAGATGCCAGGCTCGGAAACCCACAGGGGCAGGTGTACTTGTCCGAAAGTGTTGGCTGAATGGCTTCAATGGCAGTGAGTCTGCTGGGTTTTGTTTTTTAATAACAGAAGTTGCTACCTAACGCCACAGACACATGAGAGAGGGCAAGAACGCTTGGCACCTGGCAATCCGGGGAGGCTTGCAGAGAGGTGGAGGTGAGCAGTGGCAGAAAGGTAAATCAGGTTCAGGGAGAGGAGAAAGAGGGGGAGGGACCGCTAATGGTGATGTATGGCGATCTTGGCTTTTTTGCCTATTGCAATTAAACGAGTTTCTACGCAACGAATCACAATACCTGACCACCAGAGAAGGTCTGCGCTCATTTCCAGAGCGCCTTGGCATCCGTTTCTGTGTCAGGGACCGGGTAACGTGCCCTCACATTTGTTACGTATTCCTTACAGACACCCGAGGAGTTCAGCACAGCCACTGAAACCCTCTCAGCAGCCGAGGCAACTGGGATTCAGAGATGGTAAGTCACTTGCACATGGAGCCACTGAATGGCAAGTCAGGTTTGCACGCTCAAAGGTGAGGCCAAATTTTCACTGATGCTGCACATGCAGCCAGATGCATCTTCCCCACCTCCCGCTCCATGCTATTTCAGAGCATAAACGGCTCGTGGTTGTCTGCTGGTGCTCCTCAGCCTGACAGGAGACGTTCTCATGGCCTGAGCCCTGTCACTTCTTGCTGTATTCCTGCGTGCATGGATGGCGGTACCTACAGGCCGGGATCCCCAACTTCCTTCCGGATCCTCTCTCACATAGATCATCTACTGCCCCAAAGTGATCCGTGCTTTGTATCAGTCCAAAAGAAACCTCATTCTCCCTATCCCAGACGCCTTTGCCCTTCTTAGGAGCCCGGTGTGCCTTTGCCTGGTGATCAGCTGGGTGACAGACACAAGAGGAGAGTTCCCCACGCTCAATGTCTCTGGCACCAGGGCCAGGCCCGCCAGTGCCGGTACTTAACAAAGGTGAACAGGAGGGAGGCACAAGAGAAGCCCGTGGAGGGGGGGAGTTGAGCACAGAAAGCATCAGCAATAGGCAGCCCTAGCCCGTGATAGACAGAATTTGTAGTTCATGTCCTAGAGCTATCTTCCCGTCTTCCTGCTTACCAGACAAGAACACGAACATCTACTGACCCCAAGCAAACAGACACCTTGCCATCCAGGCGACTCAGCCAGGAGCTGCCGAGAGGGTTTCCAAGGCTGTACATCTTTATGGGAGCAGACTGCCACCCCTTTCTCCCACCTTTCGTGGCTGGTGGCTTTAATCCCCTGACCTTTTGGTTAGCAGCCACAAGTGCTAACTAAATTAGGTCTTTCCAGAAGGAGAGGGCAATTTAAAGGATGAAAACTCAGAATGTTGTCAGGGAAAGCCTGGCTCAATTATTTCTTCAAGTATGGGGTGGGCCCTGGGGTCTTATACAGACACCCAGCTAATCATTAAGAATCGAACTGGTTTTCCGGTCACTTCGTCTCCTACCAAAAGAGGAGAAACCATGAGCAGAGCCTCCAATCAGGGCAGGCTCTGGTCTGACGGCAGCTTTCTATAACACCCAAAGGGTAGCTGCTTTTAACGTCTGAAAAGCAACAGGTTAATTTAAGGGCATATTAAAGGCTAGAACCCCTTTGAGGGTCCCGGGCGGGCCTGCTGAAGGACGGGCAGTGCCTACACACCCCACAACGGTCGTGGTTGCCAGCAGCAGAGGAGACTGTAAAGGCAGGCAGGCAGGCACAGCCCCTGACGCGGAGGCTGCAGCAGGACTCTAGCATCCTTCTCAATAACTAGACGATGAGATGGCCCAGCCTGAGTGTCCTTCATCTATGACACCCCCAAGGAGCCCTGGTGCCACACTGGTTCAGCAAGCCTCAGCGGCTAGTCCAAAGGTTGGCAATTCAAGTCCACCAGTCACTGTTTGGGAAAGATGGGGCCGTTTACTTCCACAAAGAGCCTGGGCAACCCTAGGGGACAATTCTACTCTGCGCTTCAGGGTCATTAAGAGTCAGCATTGGGAGTTGCTGAGAACCCAATTGGGCCGGCTGCGAACAACTAAGTCAGCAGTTCCGAGCCAGCAGCCACTCCATGGGAGAAAGATGAGGCTGGCTGCTACGATTTCCTAAACCCTATCTCAGAGACCCTCTCTAGGGTCCCGATGAGTGGGGCTCGACTCGATGGCAGGGAGTGGTTTGTTAAGGAGGGCCAGGAGATGGTACTTTTGTAAAAGGAAAGGGACTTGAAATGCGGAGGACCTGAATTCTGGGCCTGACCCATCGCAAGCTCTCCAAACCGCATCAATACATTGATGAGAACAATCCCAACTCCAGTGGCCTCGCTCACGAGATGGTTTCCAGGACGAAATGTGCTCGTGGTCTCTGGGTTACACATAGGCATGCTTCAGAGATCTCACGGAGAAGGTTAAATCAATCATGAAAACGTGACACACGGCAATCACAGCGCACAGTGAGCACTTGGCACAGAGCAGCAAGCATGGCGGTGGCGGCAGCAAAGATGACAAAAAACTGCCACCCCCCCACCCCCACCCGTTGTTTCCTGAGTGCCTGCTCAGTCAGTGGTTGGTGCTGTATGCGCATCATCTCAGCACAACCTTAAGACCAGCCTGCAAAGTGGGCAGTCATTAGATGCACTCTCAGGGAGACAGACTGGGGTTCAGACTTATCAATGAACTGTCATCAATTTAAGTGGTCCACAGGTCATGACGGCGGCAGAGCCCACTCTCTTTCTAAATCTATTCTCCGTGGAAAAGGGCTTGCTGAACGATGGGGGTTGGGGGGGAAGGATGCCCAGCACTAACACGGCAGCCTGCCTGTATGTGACGGACAGTAGCCCCCACCTCCCGGGGAATCAACCCCAGGAGCACTCGCTCACAAAGCCTGTGCACATCCGCTGTCAGCTCCATTCAAGAGGTATCCTCCTGGGGGCAGGAAATGGGGCCTTCCGGACCATGCTGCATCAGCCTCTCTAATGGACTCGCTTCCATTCACAGTTTTGTAACCACAAGGGAGGGGAACCGTGGGGTCACGTTTCCCTTTCCCGCGCCACCTCACAGACGTAACCTCCAGGCCTTCCAGGAACCACCAGCCTGCCTCCTATCAAGGGTCTCCAAGCTTAAAAGACCAGAAACATAACACAAGGGGGTCCTGGTGCCAACCTCAGCCCCCCTGGGGCTCCACTGCCCAGAAGGCATGGGACGAGGAGTTAGGAGATCTAACCCAGCCTCTGCTGACGGGTGACAGACATCACAACCCTGCAGGAGAGCAAAGCTCCTGGAGCCTCAACTTCCCCACCGTTTAGGAAAAAAGAAATAGTATTACCTAACTCTTGAGGCTTCTTTTTAGGATCGGTATCAGCTCCTCTCTTTGACCTCTCTCTCCAATTCCCCACCTGCACACTGCCACCATCATCCCATCCTGCTCTGCTCACCACTACGTTCACAGAAGGCAGGTCCCTGCTGGCCCGGCAAGACTTGAGCATCTACCCAGTGGGGATCCTGGTCTCTTCCAGGGTGTCACTGAGGAAGAAAGTCCTGTGGGTGTGCTTTGGGAAGTCAGTCAGAAAAACACCCTTGTGGGTCCCAGAAGACCATCGTCAGACCTGCTTGCTTTGCATGTGTCCTCAGGAGGGGTCCACTGCTGGAGGAAGCCGTCCTGTTTGGTGACGCAGATGGTAGGGGGTGAGGGAGACCCTCAGTGGGAGGAACTGGCACGGTCACCTCCAAGGCTAGACTCTAACCCATGAGGATCCTGAGGCTGGGGCCCACACCTGGGGCCCACACCTGGTATACTGGAGAAGCCATGGTCAGCCCAGGGATGGGACAGACCTCTTCTACAAGGGTCTGAGCCAAGATCCAGGATCCACCTAGGGCAAATCAACTTTAAAAACAAAACAAATCCTCTGGTTACAGATTTGTTCACTGTTCTTTAAGGTGGAAATCCAAGCACCTGGATGTTTACCTTTAGCTACGTAGGTAACCTTGGGCAATTCATTTGAACTCTGATCATAAATTCCATTCATCGTGTACACAGTAATCATATATATGTGTGTGTGTGTGTATACATATATATAAAATATACATATATATATTACAAAAGTATTGGAAGAAGACTAAGAGACACCTAATTCTGTTTTCACTGGGAGAGCCGGGACCTCTCTCAACCTCTGAGGTTCTCTGAATGATGGACTAACCCGGGCAGCTGCCTGCCAGCATTCCCGCCCCACAATCAGAGGGCAGAGCGCTGGGAATTCCAGAATGTTCTCTATTCCCTTCAGAGATTCCCCCTGTTGAAGACTAGATCTCGGGTCAGAAGGTCAAACCAGTAAGGCCAGAGTTCTCCTGGTTCCAGGAAAGGAGAGGGGCAAAGGGTAGCTGAATAAACGCAGGCCTTCAACGTCTCCTGCAGGGGTTCTCCACCTTCCTCACGCCATGACCCTTTCATACAGTTCCTCGTGTGGCGGTGACCCCCAACCATAACATTATTTTCGTTGCTACTTCATCACTGTCATTTTGCTACTGTTCTGAATTTGGTGGCCCCTGTGAAAGGGTCATTCGACCTCCAGAGCGGTCACGATCCCCAGGTTGAGAACCACATGGGCCTTCTGGACCACTCCATTGGGAAACAGGTTTTAAATCCGGCTTTCCATCTTTCAGATTCGTCTCCCAGGCACCAAACTTACATAAACAACTGTCCACGCAGCGTTTCCACAAGGTCTCCCCAGGCAGCATCCAAGCTCTTCATATACACATCTCTCCCTTTAGTGGTTCTCGATAAATCATAGCGCTCCCTTGTGAGCCACCCTGACACTCCGTCAGTCAATCGACCCATCTAGTCAAATCTACCTCGGAAGTTCTCTCAGCCAAAGAAAACCCCACTGACCACAGCAGTCCAGCCCCCGAGCCCCTCGTGGGGCTAGTGCGGGACTGGGGTTATTTCACTCCCTTTGGACGTCCATCACATAGTCCAGACCCCCACCTCTCACCTACATTTACCAAACAACCTCTTGACATGTCTGCTCCCCTCCAATCTATTCTCTACACTGTAGCCAGTGACTTTCTAAAGATCTCTGTGTCTTATCAAGCTGCTCCCTGTCTGCTAGAGGAAGGAACTAGCAGGTACCCCAAGTGAGTTAGGAAGGGCACACATTAATCCAAGATAAAAGCAAGTAACAGATCCAAAGAAGCAACAGGGGGAATGTCTTACCTCCTGTCCCGTGGCCACGTCCATGGCGGTGTACACGGTCCCCGAAGCCCTGAGTCCCAGGAGGCGGGGAGAGAGAAAACACAGGTCAAAACGGGCCCTCAGTGACACGACCTTTGTCAGAGGTAGCTCTGACACAGCCTGGCAGCGCAGGTGTGGGCAATCCTAGCAGAATGAATAATCCTCTTCTTTGCTCCCGGACCCCATTCTCCCGGGGGGAGTTAGTAGATGGTACGCAAAGAACACGGACCCCCAGGGCCAACAGACCTGACTTCACGCTGGGTCTTCTAACCAGGGCCTGTGACTTTGAACGTATGATTTAACTTCTCTGCGCTTCCTTCGCCTCATCTGCAAAGTCGATGTACTTGATCTTAGCCAAAAGGCTGAGAAACGACGTGTATAAGTGAATGTAAAGCGAATGAGAATGAAAGTCAGGCTTCTCCTAGCCATGTGCCTAAAACGATGCCTCGGTGGTTCACTGCAGGCTAATTCCTTCTCTTCTTGCACCGACCCTGGCAAACTGCCTTCACCTCTTCTGTCCTCGACCCTCTTCGCCTGTCAGTGGGGATGAAGTTAGATCTGTGATGCTCAACTGGTGGGTTGATGAGGAGAAAAGGGCCCTAGGGAGGATTTCAGAATGTGCGGGAGAAGCTTATGTTTATCAGAAAAAGGAGATCGACCTCTGGGGCAACCGGAATGTTCTGCTTCTGGGTCTGGGTGACTGGTGACATGGGTTCCGTTGACATTTCCTAAAAGCACAGAGCTGTACGTGTGCATATGTTCGAGTCAATTAAAAATTACTTCAGGATATGATAACTATTTTGAAACTATAAAAGCTTGCAGAACCAGATGGAAACACCTAAAATAATCTCAAAATGCTCCTCCTGTTTGACCTTATCGGATCCTCTAGCTCAGGGGTTCTCCACCTTCCTGATGCTGTGACCCTGTCATACAGTTCCTCATGTCGTGGTGACCACCAACCACAACATTATTTTCATTGCCACTTCATCACTGTCATTTTGCTATTATTATGAGTTGATGCATTTCCATGGTTACAAATTGAACATCATTAAAGCATTGCGATTTATCACAAAAACAATGTCATTATATATTATGAAATATTTATTTCTAATGACAAATAAATGAAATTTTGTCTTGAAGCATGGTAGAGCATGGGTAACAGTCTTGACACCGGGTACTTGTAGGTGGGCGTATCTGCATGTGGGTGGACCCGCCGGGAGATGGATAGAGGAGCGGTGTCTGGGTTCCCAAGACCATGGGAAATATGAGAAACCGCTGCCCTAGCTCGACAAGTGTTTCCCAGCATGTAACCTAGCAAGAAGCTATCTGAGTTCAACAGAGGTGTTCTTTTCAAAAAATAAAACAATCTTACACGTGCTTTCCAAACACATGCTCCCAGAAAACCTGACACGACCCCTGCTCCAAAGCCAAGATGAGAAAGCCTACGCATCCACCCGAGGGGGCCTCACAGACGTCCCCGGAAAATCCCAGTCTCTTTTCATTCCATTTTGCCACAGACCTCTTGGAGTTCTCTCGCCTGCAGACAGCCGTGCGGACGAAAGAGAACGAAAAGGCTGGGAATAAGGTTGAGGAAGCAATCCTGTCCATGCCGATGAACTCAAGTCTCCTTTCAATGCTGCGCGTGTCCAGGTGGGGGAGGGGAGGATGAGAGAGCCTATTTGCAGCTATCTATCCGCCATGTGGTGGGATGTATTGCATGCAATCTGAGGAAATCTAAAACTCTGATCCATCACCAGCAAGTCTTCTAGGCAAGCCTGGGAAGTCAGGTCAATCCGGGAAGAAAGGTTACTTGTCCCTAGAAATGGTGGTCGCCAACCCCCTAATTGCGGAGCTCCGGAGATGCTGTCGGATAAGGGTTGAGCAGCTTAAGCATGAGGCCAGTGGTCCACACACTCCACAGGACACAGAGGCAGCTATGGGCTCCTGTAGAAATTCACAGCCTCAAAAGCCCGGTATAGGGCTCTGTAAGTCGGAATCAACTTCATGGCAGTAGGCGGGGTAGGATAACTCCCTAACCACCATTGTTTCATTGGGGCCCTAACTCTGAACGTAAGACTTGAGCTATCAAAGAATATTTGTAATGGTCATTTCTTACATGATCATCATAGCACTAGTTACTTATCTTCTGCCATAAAGCCAGAGCCTGTCTCACTGCCCCAGTCTGCTTCCCCATCCTTCCAGAGGCATGGTTCTTAGTGGACAAAGATGCCCAGGCCGCAGGGCAGCAGACATGTTGGGGCTATGCCGCCAACATGATGACAAAGGTCCACAAGGCTATCCGGCCCTCGTGTTAGAACCTGATTGTTTCTACCTTGAACAGACCTATGACTAGGCAGGAGCTCACGGTCTTATATATATTTAAATCAAGCGAAAGATGATAACAGTACCAATTCCTTCTATCTGTGTGGCAGTTCTATTTTTAAAATTCTGGGATATGTAAACATCAGCATAGGTGCTTAGTGAATAGTGCATTCCTCCGGTAGCACGGACCGATCTGTGATTCAGTTAGACAAGGGCATTCTGTGGATGATGCCTACTTATGGGCTCCCATGCTGATATAAAAAGAGTCATAGAATTTGGGGGATGAGAGGGCCTCAATCGACAGCCCTCCCCCGCTCAGAAAAAGGAATTTGACTTGTCTAGACCTGTGCATCCTTCTGCTACATTGTTAACCTCAGCATCACAATTAAAGGGAGAGCCACCCAGATTTCCCCGGAGACAAGTAAAGCAACTTCTTCTCCAGGTGTTAACTACAGTCTGCCAGTCCAGACTCTTAAAAGCCTGTCTGGTTGGAAGAGGCCTGGACCAGGAGAAAATGAGATTGACCCAAGGCCTGAGCTGTTTTGAGGATTAAACCACAGATGCAAATGACAGGTGGGAGTCCTGAGAGGTGATGCAAACAGCACAGCATCATATTATTCAACGCCTCCTTATCTTATTGTCACAAGGTCTTGGGTGTGTAAGGAGGAAAACTGGGACAGACTTCATTAGCAACAATGCTGTCATTCTAATAATGCTGAGATCCCCTGTCAGCTACCAGCTAAACAAAACACCTGCCATGGGATTGATCCGACTTACAGTGACCCCTTGTGGGTCTGTGTCCGAGCAGTGGGTTGGGTTTTCAATGTCTGAATTTTTTATCCCCAGAGGTGGATCACCAGACCTTTCTTCTGAGGTACCTCGGGGTAGACTTGAACTTCCAGACTTTCAGTGAGCAGCCACATACCTTCCCTGTTGGTACTCACCAGGGACTCCTACGTCAAGCCAGATTTGTTATTTATTTTTTAACATTCATGCTTTTGTTAAGTCTGTAGAAACCTCATTGTTTTTATTTTTTTATGCAGAAGAATAACTTACCTGAAAGAATTTACACAGATCTTAAGTATACAACTTGATGCTTTTTTCCCCCCAGATATGCACACCCATATAATTCACCACCAACATATAAGACATTGGATTTCCATCAGCCATCTATAGGTTTCCTCCAGCCCCTCTCCCAATCAACATCTCCCACCCAAAAGTCACTACCATATTGGCTTCAATTACCATCATTAGTATCTGGAGCTTCATTGAAATAGAATCTTCTAGCAGCTGCTTTTCCATGCAGGGCTTCTTTTGTACCAAATAATGGCAAGACACTGTTTGAAGACTTGCCACCGTATGTTACAATGCTCTGTTGGCTCATCTCTTTCGGACCCAGGGGCAGAGATTCTGCCTGACTCACAGTTGTATTAAGAGAGGAACTCAGCTGAGATTTGCTGAGTCCAGTAGGTCTAACGACGGCATGCAGGATGCAGGCGAGGAACCTGAGCCCAGGAGACATGCAATCGGGCCCTTTGTACCGGCCACCCAGTCTGCAGGCAGTTCTGGGCCTTTCCTCTCCTGTTTGTGCTGGCAGGGGTCAGCACTAAGCAAACAGGGTCAATCTAGAAAAGCAGAGCTGTAATTTCGGAAGCTGGTTTTGTGCTAAGAAAATAAATGGCTCCCTCTCTCTCACTGCAGGGGTATTTTTAACATGGTCAGCGAATGGTACATCGCTCGTATTAACTATAATTCTGCCAGAACTTCACAGCCTCAACCTAACGCCTGCAGAGGAGTGAGCGGTAAGGTGGAGAAAGGAAAACACCGTGCATGTGAGACAACTCTACAGAGAATTCAACACGTTCCAGTCCACACCACGTGGCGTCCTTTCTTCAGGGAGAGAAAATGCCCCTACTCACCCTTGCCCGATCTTCTCAAAGCGTGTGTATTTCTTCTTAGGGTCGCCCACACTCACTATGCTACCTTTGAAGGAAACAGAGACCAGGAGTCATTGTCTCCCCAAATCAAGAGAGGAAACTGGCCCCATGATCCCCACAGCTCCCCTGGAGTCAGCTGGGATTAAAGAATTAACTCCAAACTACCACACCCCCCTCAAAATAAACACTAATCAGGTTCTTATTCCCCCCCCTCCATAAATCGCAGCCACAAATTTAATCTCCTTGACTATTTTTATTCATATTCATCTATCCTATTTATAAGCCCCTAAGAGCCATGCAATCATCTTTTTAACTCATTCATTCAACTGACATTTATCCGTTTACTATATTCACTTAGTCCACGACTCTGCCCCAAGCCAGGGAGGAAGC